TATTATTATTATTATTATTATTATTATTATTATTATTCCATCTTCTCATAGTTTGAATTGAAGTCTTTACAAGTTTAGTCCTGTGAAAATTGCTAGGCAATTAGGGAATGTCATTTAAAGAAACTTCTTTTTATTTTTATGCCAATGTGACTGCACTGAATAAACTAGAAGGTTTGCCAGATTATTCTACTTTTTTGATTCTCACTACTGCTATCTGCAGTGCCATCAGACCATTTTAAAGAAAACCTACTAATTAGTAGAAAGCATCACTTGTCTGTTTCTTATTTTTAAAAAGTTTCTTAATTCTTCATGATGCATGTGATATTCAGCATTTTGAAGGAGAAATATTGACATTTTTCAGTTGTAGACTCAAAAATCTCTTAAGCAGTATCCCAAATTTCACCTTTCTATCTAAGCAGTGTGGAAACCCATCAATCTCCTTTCTATGATCAGGCACAGATGTTTTTTACCCATCCATACAGGCACAGGAATTAATTATGATTATATTCTATGTATAAATGAATTTATGGTCCAATCCTCTGTATGGTTTGTTGGCTTTTCCTTAAAATGACCTTTCAAGTTGTGTCTCCTCACACGTTGGTGGCTGGGATACAAAGAATTGTGCCAGAAATTCTGGAAGGATGGAAAGATCAGACACGTCTCTCTAACAGTGGTTCCCTGTGCTGTAAATGACAATCTCTTGTGCCTGGGTGAAATTTCAAGCGAGAAAAGTCAAACATTGCACTAGGGTATCTTAAGACTCCTCTTTTGAGAGAGATACTGATGATCGATAGCCTCATCCCTAGCGGCATGGAAATCTGCTGGGCACTTAAAATACTTCCTGCATACAGGAAAGGAAAATCTTGTTAATAAGCTGTGCTAATTACTAATAAGGATTTATTAATAGAATTGTGCAGGATATGAATATATTGTCATTAATACAAAGCACGCCATACAGTATTGGCAAAGGCCTACTAGTAATGCAAGACATCTGTGTCAAATGCTACAGCTAATGACAGGTTAGGGTAGGAGATGAAACAAGTCATTTTACTGTCATATTCAGGAGAGACAGTTATGTTTGCAACTCAACATTATAAGTGTCCCCCCATGTAGTCAATTAGTTAACATAGTTCTAGATATGAGAAAGTGGTGACTTACTGCCTCTCAACTACTTGAAATAGGGAACAGCATGCAATAGTTTACTCTGTGTAGCAGGATTGCAGTAGAAAGATGGCTCTCATGAAGCTGTGACACACCTAAAAGCAATACAGTAGAGCTGTGATCATGTGGCCACAGCTGCCATCTTGACTTTTTTGAACCCTCCTCCCCTTTGGACACGGTGACGATTCAGGAAGATGAGGAACACTTCAAAAGATAAAGATGAGCAAAAAAAAGCAAAGGACCAAAAAGGCTCTAAATAATTAGATATAAAACATGTTCTCTGATACAGAGAAGTGATTAGTGAATTGGAGAACATACTGTTTCGGCATCAGGATGGGAAAGGAGCTTTTTTAAAAGAAACTTCAGTAGGCTTTTAACACTGCCTCTCTAGCTTCTTGGCAAAGAGGATCCAGCTTTCCATCTCCTCCTGAGAGAAAGAGAGCAAAATGGGTCATAATTAATAGAACATCAATGTATCAATCAATCAATATTTTGTTATGGTCACAGACCAGAATTACAAATAAAATGCATAAAAATGAAATAAAATGAAACATGATAATCTATTACCGTTAATGGTGGGATTATCACTGGGCAATCAAAATCTGCCTAATTTTACAATGTGTTGCATTTCTTAGCAATGAGTATATGGAGTATATGTTTGAGATACTGTACGTCCATGTTGGATGTCATTGGCACTTACCAAAATCTAAATCATTAATGTTGCACTGAAAGATGGTCTCTCCATTCACAATCAGCTGCACATCGTTCCAGTCTGGAATTTCTTCAAGAATTATTTGGTGCCCATCTTCTTTTAACACAGCTGTAGAAGAGCATAGCAGGCAGGAAACAGAGTTCATTTCTGAAGCTGTTGACATCCAGGATGAAATAGTACATGAACGACATCACAAGATTAATAATAATAACAATAATAATCACCACCACCATAGGATCTCATTTGAGCCTTACAGCCCATTGTCTCCACCCTGTGCCAACTTTCTCCTTTAGGTCTCCCCCATTTATTTGCTTTTTCTAAGCATAAAAGACAAAACAAAAGATTGCTTCATCAGAGGGTTGTGCTGACCCTCAGAAAATCCTTGTTGCTTCCTATCTGACTTTGAGAAAAGAAAGTCTGCTCATGGTTTTTCCCATGCCAAGTTAAACAGGTACCGATAGAAGATAATATATGTAGCTCAGGGTCGAACTGTGGAGTCCTTGGTGTTCTCTGAGCTTGGTGGTTGTTTTGCAGACATTTTGTTACCCAACTAGGTAATATCTTCAGTGCTAGAAGGGAGTGGGGTTTGCTCTCTGTTATATACAGTAGCGTGCCCTGCCAGTGTTGGTGGGCGTGTGGTTTTCTCCTTGGTAGTTCCTTGATGGACTGACTCAACCATAGTTTAAACTGGGAAACAAACTGTCAGCAACTTAGACCAAGCTAAATCCAAAAACACTAGGGAATTCCTGGAAGCTTGGTGTTCAGACAAGTCAGCCATCAACAGGTACGTAGAGATAAACAAATTTACACACTATTCAAAAGAGACAATAAAAAGCTAAAAAGGAAACAAAAAGACCAGAACACCTCCTCACCAGCAATCAACACCCAGATAAACAGGGATTAACACCAGGATTAACACCAGGCATACAATCGAGCAGTAAACAACAACAGCCTAATCAAGGAACACCAAGGACTCCAAAGTTAAACAGTGTTTAACTATGTTTGTTTCTCCCACTTGTGAGTCATACATTGCAGCAAGCTATGGTTTGTGTACCTGCTTTATTTTTTTTTCTGCCAAGTAAAATAATTTTAAAAATGGGTTCACACAACAAAGACAAAACCAAACAAAGCCCGTTTTTGAAAGCAGGGACCTCAAGTGTCTCCTCTTGGAATGGACTTTTGCTCAGACATTGTCAGGAGTCAACCTGACTTTCTATCCCCAGCTAATTTAAAGGATTGTTAATTTTTACTCCAGCTGGATTTCTGCACCTCTAGCAGTTGGGCAAGTTACCGAATTTAGCAGGTGGTAAAAAAAGTTGCCAACACAATACAAATAATAAATTGCCAGATATGGTAATTTCTCTTTTATTTTTGGATGTAAGCATACAATCTTTGCTCTTTTGGGCCTGTTGAGAAATGCAGACAAAATGTTTTTTTTCTTCTTCTTAGAACTTCACAGTTGTGGGAATTTTATCTGCTGGCGTGGGTCCACTTCACGGTTGAATCAGTTCAGCATTTTTCTACAAGCCAACTGTGACCTCCCTCTGCCCCCTAGTTCTGAAGCTGAATTTTAATTTAGCTTCTTGATGAATTACAGGAAGTTTCACCAGCAAGAAGTCCAGTTAATTAGGCTCTTGAAGTTTGGGCAAATGTTTTGCTAGTCTGGAAGAGATGGCGTCAATGGCTTCTTAGTGCTTTCTGGAGAGGCTTAATGGGCTTGTGCAATTAGCAAAATGCAAAAGGTAAGCAAAAGGGGGTCTCCTCCTCCTGTGCTGCCACATCTCCTATTCTTGTGACATTTTTCTATTCTGCTTCCCCCCAAATAAAAAAAGTATAACGGACAATCTAGTGAGTGCCAATAGAGATAACACCCCATGGATTTTTCTTTTGATGACCACAAGGTCAAATTATAATTGAAGGTGAGAAAGTAGATGAATATTTTTAAAAATGCCAAAGATTACAGAGAAACAAAGACAGATTATGAATGGAGCTATAACAATAAGAGAGGCTTCTGAAGCTAAAAAAAAAAAAATTAAACTTTTCCTGGTTTAATGTGGTGCCTGGACCAGGCAGATTATCGGTTCTTATTACAAATGCTTTGAGGATGAAGTTTTACAACCCTTGCAAAACACGATGAATTTTATTTTACAAAGAGGAAAGTTGCCTGACGCTTGGAAAGATGCAAATATAGCATTAATACCTAAAGAAGGACAAGATTTGACTTTGACAAGAAATTATAGACCAATATCACTACTTAATAATGACTATAAATTGTTCACAATGATTCTAGCTGATGGACTGAAAATAATTTTGCAAGAACTTATTCAGGAAGATCAGTGTGGGTTTTTACCTAAAAGACAATTAAAAGACAATGTTAGAACTGTGCTGGATATTCTAGTATATTTTGAACAGCATAATGAAAAACAAGTTGGATTAATCTTTTTAGATTCAGAGAAAGCTTTTGACAATTTGAATTGGACTTTTTTATATAAAATTTTGGAAGATATGAATTTTGGAGAGAATTTTATAAAATGGATAAAATTGATATATACTTCATAGAAGGCACAAATAATTGTTAATGGAGATTTAACTAAACCATGTGAGATACAAAGAGGAACAAGACAGGGTTGTCCACTGTCTCCTCTTTTGTTTATTTTAGTTCTAGAAGTATTGAATAGAGATATAATACAAGATGAGAGAATTAAGGTGTACAGATTAAAAAAGAGACTTATAAATTAAGAGCTTTTGCAGATGACCTTGTGGTGGTTTTAGAAGATTCTTTAAAAGGAATTGAAATATTGATGGGAAAATTAAAAGAATTTGGTGCATTAGCAGGCTTTAAAATCAACAAACAGAAGACAAAGATATTGACCAAAAAAAAAAAAAAAAAGAAAAAAGGAATGATGAAAAAAAAAAGGTTTTTGGGGGAGAAAAAAAAAAAAATTTTGCCAAAAAAAAAAAAAAAGAAAAAAGGAATGATGAAAAAAAAAAGGTTTTTGGGGGAGAAAAAAAAAAAAATTTTGCCAAAAAAAAAAAAAAAGAAAAAAGGAATGATGAAAAAAAAAAGGTTTTTGGGGGAGAAAAAAAAAAAAATTTTGCCAAAAAAAAAAAAAAAAATGAAGATACAAGATCAAATGGAATTGATGAATAAAACAGGTTTTAGGGTTGAGAACATAAAATACTTGGGTATTAATATGACAAAATATGAATTGTATTTTATTTCAAAATAATTATGTTAAGACTTGGAATAAAATTTAAAAAGATATGTTAAGATGGGAGAAAACACAATTGTCACTGTTGGGGAGAACTTCTGTGATTAAGATGAAAGTTTTGCCTAGAATGTTATTTTTATTTCAGACAATGCCTATTTTGACATTTAATGCAACAATTAAACAATGGCAGAAAGATATATCTAAATTTGTGTGGCAAGGAAAAAAAACAAGAGTTAACTATAAGGTGTTACAAGATGTAAAAGAAAGAGGAGGATTGGGTTCACCTGATTTGAAATTATTTATTTATTTATCAAATCTGGCACCGCCCATCTTGTTGAAAAGCAACAAATTATACTTTGCAGCTTGTTGTTTAGTTTGGATGAAATAATAGATGGTTATAATGTACAAATAGAACAGTGGGAGAATATGTGGTTGAAAGAGCTGAAATTTACATTATATAAATTAAAATTCTTAAAGAGTTCTTAAAATTCTTAATTTCTTAAAGAGAATTTCGGTAAAATGATTTATCTTTGGTGCATGTCACTGGAAAACTGTCTGGAATGTATAAAGGTACTTCAGATTTATGCTGGAAATGTAAGAAGGGACATTTTATCATGCTTGGTGGACATGTAAAAAAGCTAGAAAATTCTGGACTCAACTACATATACTAAATAATACAGAAGATTTAAAAAACTAATATACAATTGAAACCAGAGACTTTTCTTTTGGGACTGTTGGGTACACAGTTGGAAACAAATCATGGAACTTTGTTTTTTGTATATGACAACTGCAGCGAGATTATATGTACGAAGGTGGAAAGATTCGACTTTATCCACAATGGAGGAATGGATGGTGAAGATGATAGAATTTGCTGAGATGGCCAGATTGACAGCTTTAATTATAGATAAGACATTGTCTAAATTTATAACGCTGATTGGAATGGACTTTTTGCATGAAACTGAAAAAAATGAAATTAGGATGTATAGATTTGATGATTAGAAAAAAAACAGATTTTAGAAAAAATGTAAGCAATGATGTAACCATAGAATAAGAGGTTAATTAACATTTATACTTATAATTGCTGTAAAAGAAAATTAGAAGTCATTTCTTTATATTTCTTTCCTTTTTCTCTCTTTTTATTTTCTACACTTTTAGCTCTGTTCTTATTTCCTTCTTTTTGTTTCTTCATTCTAAACATTAGTTCTTGTTAGTTTTTATCTTTCTCTTTAAAAATTGTAATAAAGTTGTATTTTAAGAAATTATAATTGAAGGTACAGTATATATAAGCCTATCACAATCTAATGCTATGTCCATTGGGGGGAGATGGGTGGGGACAAATTTAATAAATAAATAAAATTTGTGAACAATCTATTAGGGCTTCTGTGTGAACTAAGGACCAGCAGCAAGACAATCATCAAAAACTTTAAAAAATAGGAATTGATGTATATGCCTTAATTCAAATTGTAAACTGTCCAGAGAGTTCCAGCTAGTGGGTGGTTTAAATTTAAAAATAAATAAGGGACAGAGCAGGTGTGATGTTAATTGGAAAGCACCAGTGGACATTTCTTTTTGGATGCCAATAACAATTTTGTATTATACTTTTTAATAAAAGTATAAGTTTTTAAATGTGCATTTTAGCTATATTTATGCAGTTAGAATTAACTTGAATTTAGGCCAGAAAGTGCTTGTAAAAACAAAGCCTAAACTTTAATGCATATTCCCAATGTGTTCACCATTGGTGTAGGTTCATTAGGGAAACTTCTGTGATTTCTTTAATTAGAACATTCTCAGTTCTCCAGCGCTCGTTAGATCTGCTCGAAAGTGTGACTAGAGGTACTGTCCGAATTGCTTCGAAATCCATAGGATGATTCTTTTCTTGGTTTCCATTTAAAATAC